GATTACTGTAACTTTGTAGTGTATCTTAAAGTCTGGGATTGTGATATCTCCAGCTTTGTTCTTCTTTCTCAAGGTTGCTTTGGCTATTTAGTGTCTCTTGTGGTTCTCTAAGAATTTTAGGATTATTTGTTCTAGTTCTGTTGTCTTATAATTGTTTACACTGAATGCTGGACATCACGTGTAAGATAGTAAAAATGGAGGTAAATAGTATTTATGGCTGAAAATGTGCATGACTCTTCTTTTGTTAGAAAATGTACAGGTCTGAGTTAATTTAGTCAGGAGTCATCTTATTTAGGTTTTGTTGTTATGGTTACCTTCAGTACAGCACTGGCTTCAAATCCCTCTGGCATTACCTTGTGCTTAATTTGAAGGATTGGTTGCTCTACTCTTAGCTTTTGACCTCTCTATTCATAGTCTTTACCTCTCCTCCACCAGTGGACACTGCTAATATTTGATACTTAGGGCTTGCTAGCTTGCTGTGCGGCAGGGGATTCCCCGTTGTCTTGATCCAGCCTTAGCTCAGATAAGCCCTATGTCCCTGAATCTTGGTGAATGGGCTTTCTCAGTGATACCAACCCTCCCCTCAGTGATACCACCCCTCCCCTCAGTGATAGGATGCCTTTAGTGGCCAGGGTCAGGATGACTTCCTGTTCTCCCCCATGATTAGGGGGGTTTCCTATTTCCTCTCCTGCAGTCATAATGGGTCTTCATCTGAGGACAGTTTGACTACCCTCCCCTAGTGACTTACTGGTGTTTGTTCCACAGGGAAGGAGAGTCAGGCAAGGTTTTGTGTTTTTCTCAAAGCATCAGCTATTCTCCTTCTCCGGGTCTGTACTACTCAAGAAGGCTTTCTCTAGTCCCTTGCCCCATGCTCAATTCTTCTCTTAGGCACCCTGTGAGGTCCAGAGAGAAAAGCCTATGAGTGGGTGCAAACTCCCCTCTGTTAAAAGCTTCCAGGGGTTCTAATTTCTCTGTTATCCCACACTCAGTTTTTACCAATTTGTTAAAATTTTTCACTGGATTTTTCTTACCTGTTATTGTAAGGAGTTTGTCATCTCTTTCTTCTGTGTTTTGCCAAAGGTATATTTGCATCCTGTCTTTCCTTGAAGGGGTCTGTCTTTTCATACATTTCAGAAGACTTGGGTGCAGTGTAACTTAGGATCTCTGGTGGGTTTAAGAAAAATTATGATTTTGTAGATCATACAGTTTTTTCTTGTTCAAAGGGTAGTATGACGCTCTTCCTAGCCTTCTCCATCCTAAGCAAAATTGAGATGCTCTAGTAGTTTGTTGTTTTGAATGTCACAAGCTGGCCCTAAAATTTATATAAAAATGAAAAAAATCAAGAATTGCCAAAACATTCTTGAAGAACAAGCTGATGATAAACAAAACAGTGAATTATTGGTGCAAAGGCAGACAAATAAACCAATGGGACAGAATAAAAGTCCAGAACAGATCCATAGAAACACAGACATTTAATTTACAACAAAGGTGGTACTGCAGAAAAGTAGAGGAAAAAGACAGTCCCAGTGGACAATTAGATAACCACAAGGAAAAAAAAAAACCCACAAAATACTTAAAGGCTACCTCACCTAATAACTAAAAAATAATTCCAGGTGGATTGTAGAACTAAATGTAGAAGGCAAAACAATGTTAAAACTTCTAGAATTAATATAGGATAATATCTTCATGACCTTGGGGCACTCCACAAAAATCAATAATCATAAAGTAAAATAATTTGAATATGTTAAGATTATTTCATTATCAAAAACACCATTAGGAGAGTGAAAGACAAATCATAATGGACTGGGAAAGACATCTGCAACATAGAGCTGACAAGGATTCATAAAACACTCCAACAACATAATAGAAAAATAAAAATGGGCAAGAGATTTGACTGGACAGCACACAGAAGAGGAAATTTCATTAGCCAATAAATATATGTAAAGGTACTCAACTTCATTTGTAACCAGGGAAATGCAAGTTAAAACCACAATGAGATACCACTAAAAAACTACTGACAATTTCACTCCCAGAAATAACTCAACAGAAATTTAAGTATGGAATACCAAGAAAATATGTACAAGAATGCTCAGAGCAGCACCATTTGTAAGAATAAAACATTGAAATCAATCCAAATATCCATCTACAGTGGAACAGGCAAGTTGGATATATTCCAAAAACGAAATATTCTACAGCAACTAATATGAATAATTGCTTTATGCAACAGCAGACGTGGAGCTCAGAAACAATACAGAGCAGTTAATATAGGGCAAAATAAAAGCAATTAATATACAGCAAAATACTGTATAATTCCATTTAATATAAACTGCAAAAAATAGGCAAAACTATAATGTTGAAGCGTACAAGCTTAGGTGTTATAACATCAGTATATGGTTAACTTTGTAAGGGGAGAGGGAAGCAATTGTGAGAGAAAATACTGAGGCTTCTGTGATGTTGGTATTGGTTTACTTCTTACCTGGTTGGTAGTTACATGGGTGTCCACTTTGTAGACAACTGACCTATATATTTATGTCTCCCATGCTTTACTGTGTGTGTGTGTGTATATATATATATATATATAGTATACTTCATTATAACCTCCCCCTCTACCCCAGCAAGTTTCTGGCCATTGGTGAACTTATTTTTTTTATTAGAACTGTTTCTAACGGAGAGATGCAAGTATCTAAACTCTAATGTACTCTTTGGTTCTGATTTTCTAGGATTCTAGAAAGATATATGGTATGTTTTTTGGAGTGTGGTGATTGGGGCGGGGGGAATTCTTCCCCTGTTTGGAACTGAGATACACAGAATTCAGATAAAAGTAAATAATATTACTATATTACTGACAAAAAGCTGGATTAGAGGATATGTGACCATAATGGGCTACCAAATGCCCAACCCTGAAATTAGATGGACTTGCCCACCCAAGTCCAAGGCAGAGATGGACAGGTTTCCCTGTAGCCTGCCTCAGAAAGCTCAGATTTGGCTAAAATCAAAGAAATGCAGACAGGAAGAAATTTACCCATAAGATGCATCACTCCTCCTTCCCTGGATGGAGTGAGTGGGGCAGCTTGTCTTCACCTTCTGGAGAGTGGAATGGAAATTCTCTAAACTCTATGGAAATGTGAAGAATAAGGAATAAATATTACCCCTAACAACAGGCAGACTAGCTGTGCTTGACAGTCTATCTTTAAAGTCAGCTCTTTGAAGCTTAGCAAAGGCTGCCATAGGCTAAATTTTAGAACAAGTTTCATTCTTGCTCTTAGAGCTACTTTTTCTTCCACTTAGGAAACTGCATATATACTCCAACCACCATCTTTTCAGTGGCTTTCCTGGAAGCATCTGCAGAGACTTGTGGGCAAGGGTAAAGGAGAAGAGAGCAGGTGATTTTACACGTAGCTCTTTTCTAAGTCATGTATTTATGAGAAAAAAAATGATCTTTCCCATTTCTCTCTGAGATGTATTAAATTGGCACACAACCTTTAGTGTCTCTGGAGCTTATTTAAATCATTCTTTTCTAGGTAAAGTTAAGCCTCGTTCAAGTACCTGCTTTTTGGTATTTAGAAGTGCTCAATGATTATTTATATTAGCCTTCTCTCAAAAAAATGATAAAAACAGAAATATATATAAAATCATTTCCTTCTCACAGTGATGAAGGTTGATTACTGTGTATCAACAAATACTTTTATTCATGATTTTAATTAGCATGGATAATTTGGCCCAAGTCATTTCAGCTCAGACACAGTAGCACATGTTTATTTAATTAAACTTTTATTTTTATTTTGAGGTAATTGTAGATTCACATGCAGTTGTAAGAAATAATGCAGATTCCATTGTGCCCTTTTACCCAATTTCCTCCAATAATAACACCTTGCAAAACTATAGTACAATAGCTCCCAAGATATTGACAGTGACACAGTCAAAATACAGAACACATTTCCATCATCACAAGGATTCCTTATGTTACCCTTTTATAGCCACACATAATTCTCTTCCCTGCAACCCTCCCCCCTTAAATTCTGAAAACCACTAATCTGTTCTCCATTTCTACAATTTTTGTCATTTCAAGAATGTTCCATAAATAGAACCATATGGTATAAAAAATTTTAGGATTGGCTTTTTCATTCAGCATAATTCTCTGGAATTCATCCACGTTGTTACACGTATCCATAGTTTGTTCTTTTACACTGCTGAGTAGTATTCCATGGTATGCATATCTCACAGTTCATTTGACTATTTGCCCATTGAAAAACTCTGTGTTGTTTTTGGCTATTACAAATAAAACCTCCATGAACACTCACGTAGTTTTTTTATGTGAACACAAGTGTGTGAAAACATGTTTATAATGACATGTAACTCTTTGCCTAATTTTCTGGCTATTTAAGCCTGAGACAAAGCAAAAGATGTGAAGGTATTTGCTAAAGGTCATAGACTGCTTCTTTATCAACTAACGGTTCTTATCAGTACTTGGAGCTTTATAACTATCTTGCTACCTGACCTTGGAAAGCCCCCTGAATTTCTCTGAGCCTCAACTAGAACAGATGTTTTGCAAAGTGTACCATTTGAAACACGAACTCCATGAAATGGGGAGGGTTTCATGGTGCAGTAAGTTTGAGGGAAATGCTGAATACCATATTTCTCTTTTGAAATAAATGAATGCTCTTTGGTGTAAAAAAGAAAGGATCCAGTATCCCACTGTCCAAGTTCAAACTCCAGTTCCAGCGCCTGCTGGAATAGTAACCTTCAGCAAGACACTTAACACTCCCATACCTCAGTTTTCTCATTTCTATAAAGTGGAGACAACAACAGTACCCCACTCATATGAATGGAAGATTAACTATAATAACACAAGAAAACACTTCATAAATTGTTACCTATTATTCTATTTCCATCATAATCAGAATCATCAAAATCATTATAATCTTGTTAAAAATACACATGTCCAGGCCCCACCCCCACAGATTATATTCAGTAAGTCTAGGCTAAAGCCTGGTCCAGATGAAGCAGAGGTTTATTTATATTAAGAATGTGTCCAAGATAGTCCAAGGCAAGATTTAAATCTAGACCAAACTGACTGATGGAGAGTTGTCATACTTATATCAGCACACAAATTTAGTAAATCCTTTAAATGACTAATGCTGTAGTCCCACAAAAAGAGCACAGTTCTTTCCTCAATGGAAGGTTGGGCTTCTAACACAAACTCATGATTCCCCAAAGGGTCGTTCATTAAAATAAAACGCATTTCTGTGCAGTTGGTACACATCAGCTTTCAGAAAAATTCCTAAATGTAGCAGTTAGCATTGATATATAAAAATTGTATTTGTGAGTCATTGCTTAGCAAATCAAATCTAAAAATAAGACATATTATTTCTTTAGAAATACAAGAAAACAACTATGATTGCTATTATTCCTGTAGGTTTCATCACCACACTGCTATTTCCAAAAGTCGTCTTATTGCTAAGCATCAGGCAAATTTCCAGAACACTTGGGGAACTCACTCTAGAGGTGGTGGCAATCTTTTTACCACTTCTGCAGCAATCCTCAGGTAAGCTTTGGCCTGGAAAAGAAGAGACTCATTTGTTCTGTATTTCTCCAGAGCAGGCATCAAATGACTCATGAACTGTTTGCCAGAGCTGTTTCCTGAACTGAAGAGTGAAAAAGCTGAGTGAGATGAGGAAATTCAGCAGTGAGAGGATGCTGTTGCGTACACTGCAGGTGTGACAGGGAAGAAAGGATTTCAGATTACTTAGGTGGCAAATACTTAGAAGGGGACTTTCTGAAAAAATATTTAATGCCAGCAATTACTGTTTTTAAGCTCTAATTCCCATGTCAGCAAATCAGCAATCCAGTCTAGTTGTAGAAAAATTATATCTTCCTCTTCTGACAAATTGATATCTTAAGTTAGATACTGCCAGAACTTCTTTGGCATAAGAGCTGTTAGTCATTTTAAATAGGACTGTTTATTACCACCCTATGGTTTATCTTCGGAAAGCATCTTCTTCATCTCTCTGAGAATGGCATCCAGTACCAGCAGCGAGCGCCTCATAGGCTTCTTCACCTGCTGAATTTTGGGTACCAGGCAAGAATTCCTGGGATCAGTTGTTACACTCTTCATCTGTGGGAACCCCAGTGCAGCTGAATACTAAGAGCAACCCCCAAGCCACTGTGGGCCACAAACTAAGCCAATGCTTACATGGTCCAGTCAGAACAATGCTCATGACATTTGCATCTTAAAAGTTTTAAATAATTGCAATGCAAATATTATTTATTTCTATTTTATCTATAAAAAGTAACTGTAAGACACAATAGTAAGATCTTCTAAAACCATTAATTTATATACTTAGAGTTATGAATATACCACCCCCACCACCACCACTACTACTACTACATCTACTATGACTGATAATAGCTAAAATTTACTTGAGCACTTAATATTTACCAAGTATTGTTTCATTTAAACTCACAGCTACCCTAAGGGATAAATTCTGTCACTAACCCCACTTTATAGATAAGGAAACCAAGAACCAGAAAGGTGAGTGGTCTTGCCTAAAGCATTACAGCTAATAGGGGATGAGCTGGTCTTTGAACCTAGGCTGACCAACTCTGACTCTGCATGCTAAAAGAACTATTTGAGGTTTGTTTACCCAGACTTGAAGAAGTGTTTTAAGTGTGTTTCACACATTTTCACTTTTGAAAACCATGCTTGAGCCCTAACAGCTGAATTATGCTTTATTCTACCAGAAAAGAGCTAAAATCTTACCTATGAGTTCATTAAAAAAAAAAAAAAGAATAGTTTTCAAAATATGAATAAAGCCTTATTTTTTTTTATCGAGTACCTACTCTACCAAGTACTTTGCATAAGTAATCTCACTTATGTAAAACAAGCATCATCAACTCAACTTGGATAAAGCAAACAACTGGGAGTTGTTTGCTCAAGGTCACAAAGTCAGTAAGTTGGAAAACATTCAAACCTGGGTCCACCTAACTCCAAAGCCTAGATCCTTCTACTACATATTAAACAGTAAGTCCAAAGTACAACCAATTTTAATCATAATGCTTTTATCTAAAAGATGGTTTCACTATGTTATAGTTAACAGAAACAAGTTTTGTTTAAAAATGGAAATAATATATACTTCGTAAATATTTCTCTTAAATCTAGTGTGCTGATTTTTACCCATGCATCTTTGTAAATACCTTTTATCTCCTAGTAGCTTTTCTGACTGTTTAAGCCTAAAATTTTTGTGATGAAAAATGTAAAGTTCACTAAAGCAAGCTGAGAGAAGGCCATCATTCTATCATCTTTAAATTCTTACTTATGTTAAATTAGAGACATAAACCTATCAGACTACACGAAATACTGAATGATTCCAGAATAATCAAATTTGCTACATTTAACCTCTGCTTTTTTTTTTTTTTTTAAAGATTTTATTTATTTGACAGAGACACAGAAGAGAGAGGGAACACAAGCAGGAGCAGGGGGAGAGGGAGGAGCAGGCTTCCCGCTGAGCAGGGAGCCCGATGCAGGGCTCAATCCCAGGACCCTGGGATCATAACCTGAGCCAAAGGCAGACGCTTAACGACTGAGCCACCCAGGTGCCCTTAACCTCTGCTTTTTAATGAACTATCTCCAAGCTTAAACTTTCAATATATCACACTCAAAGTACTGGTAGATTGTCATTTGCTAAGAAACCACTGAAAGTGCTTAATTTCAGTTTCAATTTCTACGAAACTGTTGAGATTGAATTTTTTCAGCCAATGCAGTATCATTTCAACAAATACGTTTTGGTTCTTATATGCAAGTTACCGTTTTGGAACTCTGTGGGACTTAATGATACAAAAGGAAGGGAGAATAGCTCACTTGTGAAGAGTTGGGTGTTCTGAAGTCAGACAGGCATGGTTTAAAATCTTAGCTCCATCATTTATTAGCTATGAGGCCTTAGGAAATTTATTTAATTTAACCCTTCTAAGACTCAGTTTCCACATCTCTAAAATGGCTGAAGTAATAGTATCTACCTCAAAGGGTTTGGGGGAATATTAAGTAATAATAAAATATGTGCAGTACTGGCACAAAAGAAGCAAATATTAGGGCTGCTATTTTTACTATTACGTCCTCAAGTAATTTACAGTCTCATTGAAGAGCTCCTATGAACATGTACTCGTAGGTACTTCTCCTGGCTGAGGCACAAGTAAACTAAATCCCTCCCTTTTGTTTAATCCATAACTAGCAAAAATATATGATATTTGTATCATATGTAAAAAATATGATTTCAATTTCTCAAACTGTTAATACTCTCTTTTTTCATTAGCTCAAACATATATAGAATAACATTTCTTTTCGAGATCTTTTATTGGGCTATCCAGAAGCATGGATAATACAGCTGGATCCTATTTGTCTGCTCTATATTAACAAGTTAAAGGAAAGGGATAGCAATCAGTGCAAGAAGTTTTATAGAGAACTTTTCCCCTTTGTCTTCGTTTTTAAATATTTGAAGTTCTACTTCATCATACACAGTCATTTCATATTAAGATTATAAGGTAATAATTTAGAAGTTCTAAGATAATAAAGTTTCCACTTATATTTGAAAGTCTTTTTTTTTTTTAAGATTTTATTTATGTATTCATGAGAGACAGAGAGAGAGAGGCAGAGGGAGAAGCAGGATCCCCTCTGAGCAGGGAGCCCCATGCGGGACCTGATCCCAGGACCCTGGGATCATGACCTGAGCTGAAGGCAGACGCTTAACCATCTGAGCCACCCAGGCACCCTATATTTGAAAGTCTTTACCAGGAATACCTTATAGCATACCTTTCTGTATGCCAATATTAAGATTTTTTACTTGATAACAAAAGGATGAAACCACAAAATTATTAGTCAATCATGTGTCCATTACTTGTGTCCTGGACTCAAGCAAAGGCAAAAGGTAGATAAAGTTGAATTAGCAATTATCACACAAACAAGAGGCATTGCTACTGAATTTAAGAGTTCTGAATCCTAAGTGTCCACTTCCTCGCCCTTCCTCTGTGGCTTTCTCTGGCTATTATACACTACTATATTTGGAGTTTCAATTATTCCCCTTTCGTTAACAGTGCACATGTTCAGAAGGTTTTGCCCAATGACTGAGGAGGCAGCAGCTTGCTGATGCTTTTTAACTGGTGCTGTAACTCTTCCAGCTTTTCTGATGATGCCTTAAATTCAGCATGAATAATATTTTAAATTAATCACTATGATATAGTATTTGTGTCCTCTGGAAGTTAAATGTTACTGGAAGAGTGAAATCCCTAATGCCCAATTTTAAAAGATCTGCAGTGCAGAGAATGACAGCCCTGGAATCTGGGGTTGGGAGGAGGGAGTGATGGAAAAACAGAGAAGATGGAGTTAGAAAACAAAAGGGTAAAAATGAAACCTTTACTGATTAATAATTTTACTTGTAGGTCAACCCCTAAAAGCAAACAATAAAAAGTGTTGATCTAAGGGGCCATTGATTAACAATTTTATGGGTTCAGTCCCATTAACTTCTGCAGAAGTTTATCATGTTGGCAAGTATAAACTTTATTCTTTAAATGAAGACATGCAAGTAGAATGGGTATTAAGCTTCCACAAATACAATAGAATTTGCTGAGAGGGCTGTGACTAGCTCCTGTGAGCATATTTCCATTGGTGTTCAAAGGGGAAAAGGGAAGGGGGTTATCAAGAGGCAAGATTTATCACAAGAGTAAACAGAAGGATCCTGTGATATGAATAGGAGGCAAACTGGAAGCTAGTCTAAATATACATCATAGACACTGAACTAATCTTGCTGTTTATTAGAAAGGGAAGCAAGTACTGCATTCAGAAGAAAATGTATAGAATATGGTGTCAAAGCTGTGAGAGGAAAGAGCCTCTAGCACTATCTTGGGACAGTTCTTTACTGTAAATGAACCTTTGCTTCTTCATCTGAAAAATGGAAATTATTATACGTATCTCACAAATGTGTTATGAGACTCAAATAAGATAATGTATTTAATGCACCCAAGTATTGTACTACCTCTTAAAACAAATTAAAGAAATCATAGCTAAGATCTGGAAGGTGATATAATGGAAAGAGGCCAATGTTTGCAAGGAAAAGACTTGTCTATTAATCACATTTTACCATTTATTAGTTCTATAACCTTGGGAAAATTATTTAAATTCCCTGCAACTCAGTTTCCTCATCTGTAAAATGGGGACTATTTATACATCGCATTAAGTTGTTGTGAGCATAAAATTAAGTAATATGTCTGACAGCGTCTGGTATGTTGTAATTGCTATTATTATTAGGAGAATGATAACTGATAATGAATGTCTGCAATCTAAGAGTAGGAAATAATAATTTCCATGGAAACAGAATAAACACAAGGCACTATTTTTTTTTTCCTTTTCATGGCCATGTCTAAATCTTAAAATTGCTCAGAAGTCTTCATATTTAAGGTTGACAATCTGGTACATGAAATTCTCACTACTTTTGCCGAGACCTCACCAAATCAAATCTAGCACAAACTACAAAAGGTTAGGCTGTCCTTGTTCTCATAAATGTCAGCCAGCAACAGTAAAATAATAGATCTAATGTTTATGCAAATGTAAATGAGATTTAAAAAATTAACTCCAAAAAACTACACATACTGTTTAGAGTTTTAAATCATACTATCTTTTGATGGTTGCTATATGTTTTCTCTTTTATTACATTCCTTTTACTTCTTTTGAGAAATCTCAAAGAAAAAAGCAATAATGGATAGGTGGGGAAAATATTAAAAAATCTAAACTTGTAATTGATATAATCTAGTAAGTATTCTTAGTCATAAGAAATACCATAGAATGTCTTTAGTCTGTTCTCGGGAGGCATTTGGAAGTGTGTAATTAAAACACACTCGATTTTGGGGCGCCTGGTTGGCTCAGTCATTAAGCGTCTGCCTTCAGCTCAGGTCGTGATCCCAGGGTCCTGGGATCGAGCCCCACATCGGGCTCTCTGCTCCACCGGAAGCCTGCTTCTCCTTCCCCCTGCCTCCCTCTTGTGTTCCTGCTCTCGCTAGCTCTCTCCCTGTCAAATAAATAAATAAAATCTTTTAAAAAAATTAAAAATAAGACACACTAGATTTTCATACAACTTTCATCTACTACATAAAGTACACCTATGGTAGCCAGACTGCCAGACTTTAATTAGGAGAGTAATAAAGGGTTATGGTTTTTGTTTATCTGAAAGATTTCTAAGAAAGACTGAAAAGGAAATTTAACATTTACTACCTATGTCAGAGAAAAGAAACACAGTAAGTGCTATACACTACACACTATTTCCTCAGAGATCATATCCCCAGCACCTCAATCACCTATACCATAACTGTAGACTCTTAAGAAAGGGAAAAGACCATGGGCTCCTAAAAGAGAGAACTCAAAATGAAGGTACTTAACTTATCCAAGATTCCTAACTGTTGATTCTACCCTTACTTTATTTACAGCTTTAATCAACCTCAGCTCTTTTATTTTCTAGTTCACATAAGATTAGAGAAAGGAAGGATGGAATGAAAATAGTAGTAGTTATGGATAGCCGAAACGATAGTACTATAAAGTTATACCCATTAGCTAAGGAAAACCAAAAAAGAATAATTATTAGAAGGCTGACTGGGGCTTTTCAGCAAAGCAGCACAAAAACTCTATCAAAACTGATGCACCCAGATGATGCTCACATAGCAAGCACTCCTTGGGATAGAAGAGATACATATGATTAATTTTATTCCTATCTAAAAAAGAGAGTAAAATAAAAGATTTTATTCTTAAAGTCGGAAAGCTTCAGCAATCTTGAAAAACTATCAACTGTATCCCCAACGATGTTGGCTAATGAAACACAACCAGTTTTCGCCCTTACCTCCTCAATAGTATCTATTAAAATAAATGTAGTGAAAATCCCATCTCTAATGCATTATAACAATTTCCCTACATCCAGCTCAATACTTCCCCTTTAAGATTTATTTACTTATTTTAGAAAGACACAGCATGAGCAGGAGAGGCAGAGGGAAAGGGAGAGAAAATTTCAAGCAGACTCTGCGCTGAGCATAGAGCCCAATATGGGGCTCCATCTCACGACCCCAAGATCATGACCTGAGCTGAAGCCAACTTGGACGCTCAACTGACTGTGCCACCCAAGCACCCTCAACTCAATACTTTCTTACATTAGTTTCCCTTCTCCTAACAATCAGCTGAACTTCTAATACTGAAATATGGTAATCTTGGGCAGTTAGATACAGCTAGCCAGCAAAATAAGAATTTTACAAACACTCGTTGTTTGTGTTCTTCATGAGAAAACTAGCTGGGTGATGGCTCTTCGTAGGTGAACTTGTTCAGCTAATAATTCAGAGCAAGCGCTGGTATGCTTACCATATAAAATAGTTATTTAAAGATGCTTTGAATAACTTAGCTAATCTTTGCTTAATACATGCACCACAAATAAACTTGATCTTCCCAACTTTCTTTCTAAATATCAAAAAGTATATATCCTATAAAAAGACACTAAAAGACATTTAAAAACATCACTTACCTCATCACTTTCAGGCTGCGAAAACACAATCGGCTGGCCTGTATCTGAAGTTTCCCTTATATTAAGATGTAAGGGAATGTCTCCTAAAAGAGTCCACCAGACATCCATTAATACTACAAAAGTTTATAGAGGCATTTGGAATTTCACTATTTGAACTTTGGAAAAAAAAAACCCAAATTTAAATTAAATTCATTAAACTCAACTTGAATTATGACTATCCTCAAGTTGCTAAATCTCTAAAAAAGGAATTTCAAATGAAAATTAGGGGCAACATATTCCATTTGAGGGTAGTTCGGGGATTGTATATGTATATATGAAAGCTACGTGGCAGCCAATCAAGGGATAAGGCCTCTGATTTATTTATTGCTGGAGGTCTTCCAGCAAGAAATGGCTTGGAAGACATTTGTAAAATTATTTCTCCCTGTAATATCTGATATAGACACATCATACCAAACATGAAGAGAAAAATGAAGAGGAAAAGATGGGGAGACAAAGTCGTCCAAAAAAAGTATAACAAAATTACCTTCCTGATGTTGGCAGATGAGTGAGCTAAGAGAACTGCTGAAAAGTAAGGCACATCTGTTATCTCCACTACCTGCCTCTTTATCCAATGGAACTATTCTTTTACCATGTATCAATCTATATAGCATTATATATAACTTGTGAACTTGATGAGATCTCAGGAATTATATAAGAACCTCCACGATACAGACCTGAGGTTGGAATGGTTGTGTGTCTTTCCTGAGGATATGTTACTATTAGGTGGTAGAATTTAGGGGGAAAATGCTCTGATCCATCATCCAATTGACTCCACCACCCCTTCACAAATGAAGACTTTCAAAAGGTTTGGACTTAAAATGCAGTAAATGGAGCCATAAGTAGAAAAGCTGACTCATCATGGTACTGATTCTTAGAACCACTCCAAATTCATGCAAGGGTTACTGAAATGTATGTGTGCGTGTGTGTGTTTATATAAATAAGTCAGTCAGCACCATGCCAGGCTAGGTAAATAAAGCAGAAGTATATGTTACAAAATTACAAATCTATTATAAGTTATATTATAAAGTACATAGAGGAACATATTTCATTCTCCTCTTGTCAGCAAATTTGAGAATCTTAATCAACTCTTTAAATTTTTCCTAAATGTTCAATAGCCAATGACAAAACACCTGAATATTTCAGTAGTCATTTAAAGATCAGCTTTTCAGTAAATCTGATGTCTAGTCTATAGATCAACTTAAGACTGTAAGAAACTGTCACAGGGGTAAGGGAAAACATGTTAAAGAAAATTCTTAGAAACCCATAAGGCTTTTTCCTTGATTTATGCCATTATAGTAAGGAATCCTGAATGCTTTCATTTCTACTGCAGTAATGGAAGGAAAAAAATAAAGCAAAACCTTCTCCTTTATATAGTCACCTATCAATATAGTTTCTGCCTTCGAGAGACTCATAATTCTATCTATAAGCAGAGAAGAGTTGATAAAGAAGGAGGAAAACTTTTTTAGGAAATAGGTGGCACACCATAGTGAGAGTGGTAGTGGGCTAATAGCTGTATATCAGAGAAGGATAAAAAGGAGTAATGGTATGGAGAGTGGGTAAAGTGCAGCCTGGCCTTGAAAAGTATCTTTGAGGGACTAGGTCTGAAGGTAGCAAAGGCATATTTCAGAGACACAATGACTATACATAATCTGTCCTTGTAGGTAATATGGGGAAAGTTCTGAGAGCTATTTTACCAAATAATTTTTTAAATATAGCCCAATGGATGAAAATAAATTAAGAGGCAGCCAGGGAGTCAGTAAAGGACATACAAGGGTTCCTGGGGAGTTCAACCAGCTAGCCAGGAGGCCATAACTGGGAGAGCTCTTACCCTGATTTCAGTTCCTTCTTCCTGACTCCAACCTCTTTGTTATTGGAGCCCCTGCTCCAGATCATGGGGGTCTCACTGGGCCCCATGACTGCATTAAAAGGAAGAGATGTGCCCTGAGTTGGAACTCTGAATTATTTTTCCCAGAACACTGTTAGATATAACAATCTATAAGCACTATCCATGTTTTTTTGTGATCAGTAATCAGTGTTTCTGACACATTTTTAGGGTAACTAAACATTTCTGAGCTGTTGAGTAAAATGTAACTTCCATATGTGAGATTGCTTCTCTATGAGATATATTTCAAATTAAAATAAGTGATTTATAATATACCACCCATTTATAAATCAGGGAATTATAATATTGTCAGCATAACTCAATAATGCCATTATAATTACACATTTACTTTATTATATAAGTGAATGTCAATCTGTTGTTATTATGCAGATTTGGGAAACTGAACTTTCTAGGTTAGTTAAATAAGAAACAGTTGCAGAATATAATTAGTGGCTATAATTATAGCAATGTATCAAAATATATCATTAGTATTCATTCACCTGGTACTGTGGCGGCTGCTATAGTGCAAATGCATAATAACAATAACGCATTTAACATCAACTTTTAGAAATTTAATTATAATAAAGAATGTTTTGAAATTCCTTGATCTCTAAGGGATCTTAATTGTTAACTACCTAAAACTAATAATTCACTCTATTTCTCCCTTACTCAGCATCTAACAACTGCCTTTGCCCAGAACAGAAACTCATTCAAAAGGAAAATATCAACACGTTTCCTAAAATGTCCATTAAGTTGCCTGCGGATTTTTGAAAAATTATGTTTTATCTAAAATCTGTGTTTTGTTCACTTAACACATTATTTACTTCTCATAACACTAATTAATCCTTCAATTCAGTAACGTGAACAGTATATACAATGTGAATTTCAGGTGCCATATCTCAGAGACATGGCAAAAACATATAAAAAGACTACAGAAAACAGAAAATATTATCTTTCTAGAGCAAAAGGACTGATAAATTCAGAACTTATCAGGAAGGCATTTTTTTCTTATGCACTAAGAACTGACACTTCCAAAGGTTGCTACAACACACTACCCAGGTGTTTTCACATACCTGTTTATACTGAGAAATGTGTCCCCTTAGCAAACAAACTGATGACCATTATTTAAAACAAGGACTTCAAATTACAGTACTCAGACCATGAAACTCTTCTCAAATTCAAGTTACAGGCAGTTTTTACCCGCAGCAAAAGTTATAATTGGCAGAACAAACCTCCTCTTCAAAAAGCCTTCCACTAATGAAGTATTATAAAAAGCAAAGGAAGGTTAACACATACAACTCCCTACTATCTTAATTTAAAGCACAAAACTGAAGACAGTTCATCATTTTCTGAGACACTCTTCATCACCACACCTTATCCTCACCTTCCCTTCTGCCATTTCCTCTGCAAAAGAATATCCTATGATCTTACCTAGAACATCAAGATCAAGGGTCCGTGCTAGTCTTCTTGCACCATCAGCACCAAAAATATGAGTTCTATGTTTACATTTTGGACACTGGAAAACACTCATATTTTGGACAAGGCCCAGGACCTAGAATAACAAAAACCACTGAAATTAAAACAAAATTAAACCAAATCTCAATCCATTATTTCAAGTTTTTACTCAGTGCCCACTGGGTTCTAGTGATCCAGTGATGAATAAGTTATGGTCTCTGCTTTATTTTTTATTATTATTTTTTTAAAGATTTTTATTTATTTATTTGTCAGAGAGAGAGAGAGAGAGCACAAGCAGGGGGAGCAGAAGAGGGAAAGGGAGAAGCAGGCTCCTCACTGAGCAAGGAGCCCAATGTGGGACTCAATCCCAGGACCCTGGGATCATGACCTGAGCCGAAGGCAGACGCTTAAGGACTGAGCCACCCAGGCATCCCATGGTCTCTGCTTTAAAGGGAACTCAGAAGCTAGTGGGAGAGCAAAACACATATAATTAACTTTAATAATGTGATAAATGCTAAAGATAAAGAAATGACTGAGATAAAAAAATTCTGTCTGGGAAGACTAAGAGGTATCTCTGAGCTGCCCACATTACCCAGAATTGTTTCTTCTGGTTGAGGGTAAGAAGGGTTGAGGCCTACAGCAGAAATTCTAGGAAGAAAGAGGAACACAAGCCAAGATAGTGAAATACTGCACATGGCCTTTTTGGGCTGCACGCCAGTGGAGGGCAAAGGCAGAAGTTGGTTTGATAAGGGAGGTCAGAGTCTGATGGCAAGGTGCTAAATGCCATTCATGACTTTCTTCTTGTGACAAAAGAAAACCACAAAAGATTTTTAAAGTTGAAAAGATGGTCCCATAAAAGGTTTTTCAAGTTGAAAAGATGGTCCCAAGAGGTAATGTTACACAATCAGATCTGTGTTTTAGAAATTTAACTCTGATAGCAATACAGAAAAAATAAGCAGAAAGAAACACAGGAAAATAAATGGAAAAGAGGCTACTGTGAATGAAGCCTCATAGTAAATGACAGCTAACAAATACTGAGTATTTATTATATACCAGGCACTGGGGTAAGTGTTTTAGATGAACTGTCTTATTTACTCCTATCAAAAACTTTACGAGATGGGTATTTTATATCCCCATTCCATAGCTGAGAAAAAGAACACAGCCAGCAAAAGACGAAAACTCAGCTCTTACCAGAATGTTATCATTTCAAACAAAAATTTAAAGTCTTATAGAAAGTGTCCATCTCTGAGTTTCCCCAGCTTCTGGCACAAAATAGATACTTTATAAACATGTGCTAAATAAATAGACAGACTCTGCAAATATAATCCTTATTCATGTTTCTCTTAATCCCATTTTCTTAGTGAAAAGCAGTGCATCTCTTCTAGAATAAAAATAAGGAACACAATTATCAAAGGCTTAGAGATAACATGTCTATATTATCCTATCAACTCTACCAAAAAGATCATCATCATAGGAGATATCTCTATTAGAATATTTGCATTTTAAATGAAGAATAGCACTGACAATCCACAATGAACCATACAGACAAGAAGGTGATGAAATTTCTTATTCTTTCTGAAAAGAGAAACAGAACAGACTAAAGTTTCCCAGAACATATGCAAATGAAGACAAATTGTGAGGGACATAAATTTGTAGCTAAGCATTTTCCAAGCATTTAATATATGCTCTTTTGCTGATGCAAAGTATTATAAAAAATAAATCATATTGTACTTTGGTAATTCAATACCATCTCCACAAAGCCAGAAGAAAACACAGCTAAAGATCACACACCTTATTTGTTTATTTAGTATGTCTATATCACTAAAGAATGAATGGGTCAACCAGGAAATTAAAGAAGAATTAAAAAAATTCATGGAAACAAATGAAAATGAAAACACAACTGTTCAAAATCTTTGGGATGCAGTATGTCTATATCACACATCCATTGCTTGAGCAGTTTTACTGCCATTTATGTTAAATGTGATATATTCCCTCACTATAGAGCTTTCAACTTAAGCATAAAAATATCACTCAAGAAATGGGAAAAGAAAAAACACTTAAATATTGCGAAAATCTAGGTGAGGGTATATTCCAATCCAGAGAGAACAGGAAAAGCATCCTTACTCCAGAATCTCCTGGACTCCCCAAGACATAGGAAGGTATGAAGCAAGGGTGTATTTTCAACTTACATGATTAACTTATTACCAATATCTTATTATTGTTCTCCAAGGCCTACATAAATGTCTCAGACATGTTCTCTATATAGACTACAAAATGTCATAAACATAAAACCGTAAGCAAACTCAATATTTAATGAGCGCCTATTATATGCCAGTAACTGAGCTAAACAATAGGAGTACCATACAGTGGTAAGCAAAAGGGACTTGATCGTTGCCCTCCTGGAGATTGCACACTAATTAGAGAAACAGGCAGAACAATTAATAGTACAAAAATCTACTTGAAAGATGGAAGAGCTTCTCTGGAAGCAAAATACAAAGGATTATGAGTGTAGAACAGAGAGAACTACATCTACCCTGGGAGTCACGGAGGAGTTCCTTGAGGACCTAAAAGTTAAAGAATAAGCAAGTAAAAACAAGGAGAAAAGGAGTGAAAACTCTCAAGGAAGAAGTAGGGAGCACAAGTCTCCTTCAAGGAATTGAAAGAGGGATGGTGTGAGTGGGGTGAGATTTTTCTAGCAGGACACAAAGTACTAAACATAAATAAAAAAGTATTTTGTTAAACTGACTACATTAAAGTTAATAACTTAATTGGAAGACACAATTAAGAGAGTGAAAAGGCAAGCTATAAAGCAGGAGATGGGATTTATAACACACATCCATAACAAAGGGCTTTTATCTGGAATATATAAAGAACTCTACAAACCAACAAAAGAACATCAGAAATTTAAAAATGGGCAAGACATAACAGGCACTCCTTAAAAGAGGGTATCCAAAGACCAACAAACTTGAGAAAAAGTTTTCAACTTCACTAATCATCAGAGAAATGCAAATTAGAACCACAATGAGATACCACACATTTATGCTTAAGACCTGATTAGAACAGATGAATGTCTATACGACAACAGCAAGAACAACAATAACAAATACCAAATCTTGGTGAGGACACAGAGCAAGTAAAACTCACAGTTTCAGCTGAGTGTAAACTGGTACAACCATTTTGGAAAACTGGAAAATTTTTTATTTAAATTCAATTTAATTAACATATACTGTATTATTAGTTTCAGAGGTAGAATTTAGTGATTCATCAGTTGTAACACTCAGTGCTCATTACTTCTTCAAGTGCCCTCCCTAATGTCCATAACCCAGTTACCCCATCCCCCCACCCCTCTCCCCTCCAGCAACCCTGAGTTTGTTTCCTATAGTTAAGTCTCTCATGGTTTGTCTCCCTCTCTGATTTCATTTTACTTTTTCCTCTCTTCCCCTATGATCCTCTGTTTTATTTCTTAAATTCCACGAGTGAGATCATATGATAATTGTCTTTCTCTGACTGACTTATTTCACTTAGCATAATAGCCTCTAGTTCCATCCATATCATTGCAAGTCACCAGTCACTTTTTAGCAAGTGTGGTGAGCGTGTAGTGGTATCTCATTGTGCTGGACTTTTCAAATCGTTAATCTGTTTATACTGGGAACTATAAATCGTTAATCTGTTTATACTGGGAACTATATTTCCTAGACTCTTCCTTCCTTTATGGCTCCTCATTAAAGTTCCCTAAAAGTAAAGTGACATGAATTTTGGGAGGTGGAAGTGAAGCCATAGGCATTACACTCTATAGTTTCCTTTGGTTAGAGGTAGGGAAAGAAATTTGCAGGAGTGCAGGTGTATTCTAGTTTGTCCTCCTTCTTCCTGACACTGGGCCCATCCTCTGCACTGTGGCTTTAATTTGCATTGCCATAATTACTTATTAAAGTTAAGGTCATCTGTTGGGTGCCTGGGTGGCTCAGTTGGTTAAGCAACTGCCTTTGGCTGGGGTCATGATACCAGAGTCCCGGGATCAAGTCCCACGTCAGGCTCCCTGCTCAGCGGGGAGTCTGCTTCTCCCTCTGACCCTACCTCTCAAATAAATAAATAAAATCTTTAAAAAAAATAAGTAAATAAAGTTAAGGTCATCTGGTTTTTTTTCTACATTTAAAATATGGCTACTAAAACTTCTTAAATCACATTTGTGACTTGCATTACATTTCTATTGGACAGCACTATTGTAGACAACTGAAGAGTGACCATAGAACTGACTTTGGTAGTTCTCCTATTTAATGTTTCAAGGTCCTAAAGATGCACAAGAACATTTATGAGGGCCAGTGATTTAGGAGTATTTTTAAAAATTGAAGAAACATGAAACACTTACCTCCAAGACTATATAGGAAAGATAAACTGTCAAGTTTCTTTGCTTTTAATCGAAATTACATCAACTGAGTGTGATAACACACAGATAAGAAAGAGAAAACAAATTACTTATTAAGATATGCAGAGTATGTGGCAGACAACTTTTTCAAACCACAGGGTTAGCTGGAAGAAAATTCAGAAAAGAACCTTGAGTATTAAAAAGATTAGAAAACACTATTCTAGTTTTTAAGAGTAGTGTTCTATAATCAATGAGTTTTGAATAGGAAGCAGTTAATATAAGAAAGAACACTAGAGTATCCATGTGACAATTTTATTCATAAAAATTCTCTTAAATAGGAAAGAGTTCATGTCCACATGACCATCTCCTACTGTCCCCCCCAAATGCCTTATATTGTGTGAATACTTTATGTGTTGTTAAGCTGTTTATTATAGAGCTATTTTGTGTATCTTTGATAGCAGAAACATTAGAAAACAGATGTTTTGCCAGAGCTTAATTTACATAATACCATTGAGATGCAGCTGTAGGCATGCTCAATCATTTTTTAATGTCTCATCAAAATATAAGATCCTTTTTTGTGTCAACTAGACTCAAATAAAAAAAATTTTTAAGAGGAAAAAGTGTATAAGATCCTTATCTCTTTTTACCTCAGCTAATTTTACTGAAAGAAAGTAAATGCTGCATGCTTGCTTAACATCAGCCACCACAAACATTTTATGTGTTATTTTTACATT